TTAAAAAAGATTAGGTTACAAAAAAATGTTTGACATTTCTATACATGAAATCCTCAAAAAGGGGAATCCTGATGTTGTGTTATACTTTTTCCATGGAAGGGGATTTGTGCCTTTATAGATACACAAAAGAGAGCTGACAGAAAATGAAATTAGTGATGACATGTAACCAAGGTCCCTGGGCATCATCTTAAAGTGCTAACCAGGGCGACACATAGAGAACAGTAAATCTTCAGTTGTTGTGTAAGAAGTTTTATTGTGACTTTACATGAGAATCAGGTCGGCTTAAAGCAAGTCTGTCGTTTGGTATCAGTGTATTTGTTGTCTGATAAGTAGCGACGGATAGCTGTATGTGAATGACAAAGATGTGTTGAAGGTCACTTAGAAGCAGTGACGACATTGCATAGTTTTTTTGCCAGAAATTGAATTTTTTAAACTAAAAGGTACTGCTCGGTGCAAATCTGGCTCACAAAATTGAAAATAAGCATGGCTCCAGTCTACCTTCATTTGTTAAGCTTGTCAATTCAAATTAAGGTTTAATAGAATCATAGAAGATATATGATTAGTTTTTCGGAATCAGTAAAGTAACCAGTATGGTTATTTTTGGACTACAGTTAAACAAATTTAAGCTTGGACAAAATGTAATAACCAGATTCACTCTGATGTCCGTTCACAACTGTTTGACTCCCCAGTATAGCGCCTGAACACCACCCTTCCACTAGTATCTCACACTGTCCCTTGTATATAGTTACCACCTTGTTTTTATCACTCCAGAAGTAACTCAAAGAAAAAATTAAAAAGAAAAAAAAAAGAAAAATAATCGTACTGCTTCTTAACAGGGTGTTGTGGATGTTGACAGATGAGCTCTCACGTTCATAAACCTGTTACTGTTAAGGTTAATAATGTTATTATTATAAGATCGAAAGCATAAGAAAGGAAAAGTGTACTTTTTCTTTTTTCAGTGTCTGCCTTTTTTTCCGCCAAGAAAAGGGCTGCTGAAGTTTCAAGAATGTTTTTAAAATGTATTAAAGATGCAAGATGATGAATACATGTTTAAGGTTTGTACCTTAGAACTCTGTTCTGTTTTGGAAGATAGATCACATTGGAAACACTATTTACCAGATTAAAATTAAAGAAGGGAGGCAGTGTGTGTCGTGTTTGGGTAGGATCTGAGGTATGACTTAATAGGTATACAGACAGAAAAACCTCAAATTACAGATAACAAAATCACAGAATTTGTGGAAATGTATTAAAACAGAAATAGAAATTGCCATTTTAATATTGGATTGAAATGCACTACTGTAATACTTGACACACACTGGTCAGCCCTTTCGCTCGCCTACCACCACCCCCCTCCCGTTAGACTAACCAGACTTAGTCTTTTGGCATGTGGTAGAATGTAATGTTCTGTATTAGACAGCTCCTATATAGACCCCTCAACATACCTACCAACACGGGACTGAGTTAAGGGATGTCTTGGACCAAATTGAGGACAATTTTTGGACAAATTTGCACAATGAGTAAGGGAGATGTCTAATTGCCTGAGATGTAACTGGGAAAAAGTTATCAAGAACAAAAGGGAGTGTTGGTAGATATGAACCTGGGGGCCATAGCTGTGTCTTCCACCTGCAGAGGCTTGTAGCGTCACAGCACTGAAAGGTATTTTTTCTACTTTGGTCCTTTACCACATATACAGCATGGTAATAGTTTGTTTTATCAAGGAGAGCTCACCACTAGAATTGTACTAGCAATACATATGTAATGATTTAATTTACTAGACATACTTTAAATATAAATTGTTTTGTGTCTTACATAGTTATAAGCTCAATTGTTGAACATACCATTACAAATTGAAAGGAAAACAATTGGCAAAATAATCTACTTTTCAGTGCTGAGGTGTGGATCCACTGTAGCGTGTGCTGTTTTATTCTGTAGGCCACACCACCATAGCAAAAGCATGCAGAAGACAACAAACATACTGCTGGTTGTTAGAGGCATCTGTCCGATTAGATAGAGCTCATCTCCCCTTTCAATTCTGAATATTTGGTATGAAAGAGATGTTCATTGTGATTCATTGTTAACCAGTGATGTGAATATTAATCATGAAATAAAAAGATGAGCAAAGATCACTAAAGTGTCAGAGTTTTTTTATTTCTTCTACAATTATTTACATAAGGTAGTGTTGTCATGCAGTGTCGTTAGACCACTGCACGACGTCTCAAACCTAACGTATAGAATGTGTAGCTTCTGTGTGTGTTTTTAAAATGAGTGTTGCAAATATCTAACTGACTGTTAAGTAGAAAATGCATAAACTAATCTATCATAATGTTTATTTGTGCTTGGTTGATCAGTGTGTTCAGCTTTTTGCAACTCTGAACACTTTATGTAAGTGGTGGTAGACATGGTTGACTAAATATGTCATTTAAAAAAAAAAAACGTTGTCAGAACCAAGGGGAAAAAACTGAGGCAAAGTTTAAGTAACCTACTATAATGTAGAAATACTATTTTACAAGTTAAGGCGTTGTAATACAATAATGAAAATAATAAAATTCAATAACGTGCTTTAACCACTTGGTGTCCCTTTCTATCAGCTGTGCACCTTTATGGTGTAAATACAGCCTATCTACCAATTAATCAAATATAAAAGTCTGCCGAATTAGTGTTGATACTGAAAGAGACGTATTGTGTGAAAAGAAATGTAAGATGTTGTTTAATTGCTGATATATTTATGATCCACGTCACGTTTTCAGTTTTAGCGGCAGTCCTTCCTGTTTGGAAGTCTTCTCATCAGGGCTCTATAAATAGAGAACTACGGCAGATATGTAATATTTAATGCAGCCAAACCGTGTATTACAATGCCGTTATGTGATGATTTTCAAAGAGAAAAGCAGGCACACTCGGAATAAAGTATTATTTATTTATTTTTTTAAATGTTTTCTTATTTCACATTGCATAAACACCATATCCCAACGTGCATTGCGGCTAAACCATCCAATCACCGAGCTGAGGATCTTGCCTACTGTAAGTCTGTTTCCGGTATTGTTTATGGCGGATGTATTTTTGTTATATTAACATCGATTTAATACATTAATGTAGCCTTTATTTCTGCTAAAAGAGGTGTCGATCAGCTGGGGCAACAAGAAAATCGGCAAAATCGAGTGTTATATTAATATTGACAATAACAACCGACCGTCGTGGTAGAGCATTTGCTTGGCATTTCCGGGTATTTCTCCACTGGTTGGGCCATGTGAACAATAACGTGTAACTGTCACGTTTGAAGGGACGAAATCGTGACATCTTCACGTCTCTCAGCATGGTAAATCGTCACATGTTCACGTCTTGCCGTGATACCGGGTTGGATTAGTTACACAATATATCCGTAACTACCCTGCTGAAAAAACCAGCATGGCCAGCTTAAGATGGTTGCTGATTTTAGCTGGTGTTATGCTGGTTTAGTTGGTTTACCAGGCTGGACAAGCTGGCTAGGCTGTTCTAGCTGGTTCAAGACCAGCCTGGTCAGCTAAACCAGCATAGCCCAGCATGGATGTCATGCTGGTATTTATGCTGGTTTCCCAGCAGAGAGGGTGGGACACGGGGAAACGGCGAGACGGCAGTGGTTGAAACAAATCAAATCAAGTTTTATTTATATAGCACATTTAAAAGCGATTTTTGATCGAGCCAAAGTGCTGTACATGTAATAAAAACACATTACTACAATCACAATAAAAGACAATAATTTACAACAGAAATATAATGTTTTTATTACATTGTACAGCACTTTGGCTCGACCAAAAATCGGTTTTAAATGTGCTATATAAATGAAACTTGATTTGATTTGTTTCAACCACTGACGTCTCGCCGTTCCCCCGTGTCCCGCCCTCTCTGTCTGTCTGTTTCAGTTTTGCCTGCAAGACTGCAGGTAGACCAGCATAAATACCAGCTTCACCAGCATAGACCAGCATGACATCCATGCTGGTCTATGTTGGTTTAGCTGACCAGGCTGGTCTTGAACCAGCAAGACCAGCCTGGCCAGCTTGTCCAGCCTGGTAAACCAACTAAACCAGCCTAACACCAGCTAAAACCAGCTAAAACCAGCAACCATCTTAAGCTGGTCTATGCTGTTTTTTTCATTAGGGTTATGATATTTGGAATGCGTCTCCATGAAAAATACATGGTGTGTGTGTGTGTGTGTGTGTGTGTGTGTGTGTGTGTGTGGGAGATGACTGTGAATAGATTGTTTCCACAGTGAATCATTATGGA